GGCAGATGGCAGCTTACTGGTTGTAACCCGATGCCGGACTGGGCATGTCTGTCATCTTACCAGCTCCCCAGCATCCTCTGAATGATAGGGCTGCGGAAGCCTTCCTGCGCTCCTGGGTCTCTGGCAGGACACGATGCCCACGGACCCTGCCGCGTGGCGTTGATGGCCAAGAATTAGCGGGGAGGGAGGGTGTCAGGAGGACCCGTTGTGAGCCCGGAGCCCCGCAGTCCTTCGGTGGGTACAGATGTGTGCAGGGGCAGTGCCCGGGGAGCCTGGATTGGGGCATGTCTTGCAGATGTGGAACAACAGCAAGTCCCCCGTCAGATACCTGTGGGGGAAGGTCAGTGACTGCCACATCATTGAAGTGGAACCCTGCGCAGGGACCATAGGTACCGGGGGCACCTCCTGGGGCTGGCTGGGGAAGGAGACCTGAGAGGAAGAGGGGCCTGTGCAGGCATTCGGGGGGTCCCGGGATCAGCTCCGGCCGCAGCCTCGTCCACATGGTGGACGAGAAGTCAGCAAAGGCCAGGCATCTGGGCCCAGCCGCAGCCGGAAACTGCCCCGCCCCCTTTCTCCAGCTCACTTTGCCCTGTCTCCCAGAGCCCAATGAGGTGGAGGATTTTGAGTTGAGCTTTACCGGGGGTGTCCCCGGCCCAACAAGCCAGGACCTGCCGTGTGAAATCCAAAACTCACCCTCACCGGTGGTGTTACACATTGAGGCGGCCTTTAAGGTGCTGTTTGGGGGGCTGGGCAGCTGGGTGGGCCAGAAGGGTGGCAGGGGTAGGGCACAGAGCCCCCATTCCCAGGCGGCCCAGTGACAGGCCCCTCTGGATGTCTCAGGGGCCGGCCCTTGTCATCAAAGCCTCAGCCCTTCAGTTTGGTTTGCTACGCCTGGGGCAGAAAGCCACCGACTCCATCCAGATCCAGAACATCAGCCAGCTCCCAGCCACGTGGTGCATGAAGGAGAGCCTGGTGTGCCTCCAAGAAAGGCAGGAGAGTGTAAGTCAGGCACCTCTGGCTAAATGGACCCCCCCCCAAACACACACACACACAAGCCTATTGACCCGTGGGGTAGGGACAGTGAAACCTGTCCTGGTGCATTTGGAGTGTTGAGGCTGGAAAGGAAGAGCTTGCCTGGTGACTCCCTCCTGGCAGTGTCCCCAGTTCTCCCCACCTGTGAGGCACTTGGGGTCCCCTCTACAGCAGAACTTAATCCTGAACTGGATTTTCCTGTTCCTTTCTCCACCATCCGATGTGGAAATAAGACAGGGGTTTTTCCTTCTGTCAAAACAAGCTGGGGGCCTCTGGGTGGCTCAGTCAGTTAAGCATCAGACTCTTGGTTTCAGCTCGGGTCATGATCTAACTGTTCATGGGTTCGAGCCCTGCATCGGGCTGTGCACTGACAGAACGGAGACTGCTTGGGATTCTCTCTCTTCCTCTCTCTCTGCCCCTCCCCTGCTGGCTCGCTCGCTCTCTCT